TCTTAAAGAAGAAAGAAGGGACTCTGTTGGCCCAGGAACAAGCTGACTGTTCACACGCTAAATTTCAGTCGGAGGGGGCAACAAACCCTCCTTCCCATGCCGCTGCTGGCCTGGGCCCACACAATAACCGAGCAAGAGAAGCAGAGATTAGTCAAACAGCTTTGAGATGTTTCTTCTTTTATTCACAGAGACCAGCAGATTACTTCCCCGGTCCTCCACCCCCATCACTATGACTTAATAGACTTGTTATAAAGTTTTCACTTGCCTACATGACAAGTGAAGATCACATTTATGGTGACATTATATTATTTAAATAAAATGAAATTAAGGAAACCATAGGCTACTGACACTTCTCCCCTATTGTTGATCATTTTTAGAGAGAGTTGCATTTGTCTGTATATCTTGTATATCAAACTCAGTTCCATGTATCTGTATATCTTTTACTGTGACATATCCATAACACAAGGGTTGATATGGTAGACTAATCAACAATCATGATTCTATATCAGTGGCTATTGATAAAAAATAAAAAGAAATAATAAGAAGAAATTATGAATAAATTAATCATAAAATGGGTTCCTCAAAACTAAATCTATATATGAGGCTCTGCAAATTTGGGGCCTGGAGCTCACTTTCCAAAGCATAATGATTAAGGCTTGAATGCCATCTGGTGGTCATTTAGGGTTCGTGCACTCTTTCAAAACCAGCTGATTTTCCATGGATGCTATGACTTTACAAATCTTCACATTGGTAACTCACAAGTGTTTTTCAGTATCTTAAATGGTTCTTTCAAGGTAATATATATGCAATAATAATAATAATAATGTTGCTCTAAAATACAGGCACATGGTTAGCTTGAAGTTCTATTTATTTTATTGAACTGTGATACAGAATACCATAGAGGGCAGTATGTACTGAAATGAACATTTCTTGAATGAGAACAATATTAAAAGGTTGTGAATTGATTTGTCCATTGCTTTCTTCATGTGCCCTATATTGCACTATTATTACTGTTATTTCAAAATCGAATTTGAATTTGTAATATTTTTTCCCCTTTAGAATGAATAACATTTTACAGGCCGGGGCCCAGTTGCAGCAAACCACCTAAGCAAATAAAACTCTACTGTATTATTACCAAGGGAAGAATTTTTTTTTCTTTTCTTTTTTGCAACCACCTGAAGGCCCTTGACTAGCCAATACCTGCAATTTATCAGTGTAATCCGATACACTGAGACTTTAAGTTGCTATCCATCTCATTGTATAAAATGTGATTTAAACTCTTCTCTGACTTTTACTTCTGGCAGTAACCAAGCTATTGTTAATTTATTTGTTTTACATTGCATTTTTTAATCACAAAAAAAAAAAAAAATTCTTAACACTTAAGAAGATTTGAAATATTTCATGCTAAAATTTCCTATACTGTAAAAAATACTTCTTCCAGTTACTTCTGTGGAAAAAAGAAAGAAAAAAATTATGCAGCCTTCATTTTTATTTTATAAATAAAACACCCTTTTATGATTTACTTAATATTATTATTATATTATATGTTATAAAAAATAATAGTAAATACAGTAACTATCCCATTGCACAGTGAATGCAGTTTAAGTATCACGTCATTCCAGAACACTTGTAGATCTTCGACTATTATCAAGTAATATTTTATTTTAGATGATTTGTACGATTGTTGTTACTACGACCCACTTAAAGGGGTCATATGATGCTTTTTTAAAGATCATTATTTTGTGTATTTGGTGTAACAGAATATGTTGACATGCTTTAATGTTCAAAACATTATTTTTCAAATACTGTACATTATTGTAAGTCCTCTATGCCCCGCCTCTCTCAAACGCTTCGTTTTCTACAAAGCCCCCTCCTT